AAATATGTGGGGCAAAGCCGATAGAACTGCAAGGAGAAATAGACGAATGTACTATCATAGTTGGAGACTTCAGCACTTTTATCAGGAAAAGATAAAGGTGCTGAAGTCTCTTTATCAGAAATGGGCAGATTCAGCAGGCAGAAAATCGGTAAGGACATACTTGAACTCAACAGCACCATCAATCCACTTGGATATAATTGACATATATAGATGACTTCATCCAACAACAGCAAAAGACATAATCTCCGGCTCACATTCATGGGGATAGACCACATTGTGAGCCATAAGAATAGTACACTAATTAAGCTTTAACAGGGAGTGTTTAAGGTAGGGTGGACTCTGGCGCCCTCATGTGGTCCTCATGGAGGATGTGGTTTGGTTACCCCTGCTAGGTAAAGGTGCAAGAAGGGAAGTTCCAATTTGCTTTCTGTGCTTTATTCTGGTTTACATATGCTCAGATGAGATGAGTGGATGTATGATTTATATTATCTACTGTTATCTAAAATAACCTTCACATTTGGACAGGTAACATCGAAAGTATCCTACACAGAAATACTGGGTGAAGATCACTGCAATAAAACCAACTCCAGAAAACAAGAAAATGGCAGAGTTGACAATCCCTCTCACCCTCCCCGCAAAGACACATATATGCACATCTCTTTTGTCAGAGGCATTAAGAGAAAGAAATGCTGTCAATCTAATCACAACTGATCACAACTTGATGAAACCAAAAAATCTAGAAAGTATCATGAAGACCGTTGAAATACAGCTTTACGTTCACTACTGTGACCAGAGAAACTCACTGTGGCTGTTTTTTGTCCCTTTAGATGTCAACTAATGATTGTGTTAAGTGATCATGATTAACAGAGCATTTAAAATGTTTATTTTATCTGTATTACATTTCAAAAATTTATATTTAGACATATAATTTATGTATTTGTGTAGATACACAACTTATAACTTTATATTTTTGAAAGTGCATGCTCTTTTTTTAAACTGATAGAGGTGCCTAAGCAAAGCAAGTGCAAGTCTATTCCTTAAAGGGTAAGTGTGCAGAATGGAAAGCAGAGTGTACTTCGGGTTGACAGCTCATATTTGAACAGACATGAAAGTGATGATGTGTTAATTGTGTGTATAGCACAGAACAAATCAACTTGCTTTGAATGGAAGGTCTGAACCAGGAGTGCGTGAAATTGGGCTGAGTCATACAAGAAAAAAAAACGAAAGGAGATAACAATATATGCCCACTAGAATGGCTAACATTAAAAAGATCGACCAAGCCAAGTTTTGGCAATAAAGTGGAGTAACTGGAATTATAATATATTGCTATTTGGCAGGTAAAATTACAACATTAACTTTAGAACATAGTTCAACCGTTTCTTCAAACCTTAGACACACACACTGTCATGTTACTCAGCATTTTACAGTTAGGTTTTTACCCAAGAGAAATGAAATCATATGTCCACACAAAGACTTGTACATGAATTTTCACAGCAGTTTTGTTTGTAATAGTCAACAAGTGGAAACAATCCAAATGTCCCTCAACAAGTGAATGGATAAACTAAATTAAGATATATTTATACAATTGAATATTGCCCAGCAACAAAAGGAAACAATTTGTATATGTGCAGCAACTGAGATAGAACTCTAATTATGCTGTGTAAGGGCTAAAACATAAAAAAAAAAAAAAATCTGAATGATTTCCTTTATACGATAGGACATAAATGAAGTGATTCAGGTTACATGAAATTTTAGAAAGTCAAATCAATCTGTAGTAAGAGAAAATAGGTCGAAGATTGCCAAGAGAAGGAAGTGGATGTTTGGATGTATTACAGAAGGACATGAGGGAACTGTGTAGGGGTGAAGAGTATGATGGAAATGTTTGTTGTCTTCGTTTGGTGATGGTTTCGCAGGGCATATATATAAGTAATCAAACTGTACTCTTTAAATACTCATCAATCATTGTATGTAATATATCTTAATAAAGCTATAAAAACTTTTTAAACTTATGGTAGATCTTGAGTTTATGGAGTTTATATTAATATATTTATCACAGGAACTAGCCACAAATTGAGGGATTAGTAATAAATGAGGGAAAGGAAACTATATCAAGCTTTCTTTGTTGAAGGCTCATATATTCCTTTTTTGAACTATTATACAACTTTACTTTATATTATTACCTATACTATGCCTACACTACTATGGAGGTAGGAATATTAGGTAATTAAGGGGAAGGAACTTCTTTCTTTCCAAGAATGGTTCATTATATTTGCTTTGTTGCGTTGATCTAGTTCTAACCTCTCATTGCAAGTTTTGCTGTAATATTTACCCCTCTCAATACAGCTTTTGGTGCTAGGAGCTCCACTTGGAATCTCTTCCTTTGTCTGGCATCAATGCATAAGACACATATCAAAATTGTATTTCATACCACATATCAAATACAGGAAAGGTGAATGCATAACATTGAAAATCACAGGAAATGTTTTATTCATTTTTTTTATATATACAGTGGTTCTCAAAGTGCTGTTATCTACCAAAATTGGCTGTGAAACTTTTTTAAAATATAAACTCCTGGGCTCTAACCCAGACCCACTAAATCAGAGATTCTGGGGACATAGCTTGGACTCTTCATTTTTTTTATAAGTAATTCTTCAATTATTTGTTCATTGCAACAAATATGCACTGAGTGCTTATAACTGAGCGTTAAGCACAAGGGCTAGATATTAATTTAGAGGTACAAAAGATACATCATCATTTGCCCTCAAATTATACACATCTAATATCTTTTGAGATAAATAGATCCTTCTAAAAGCACACAAAGTTAAAAAGCACAAATTGCGATAACAAACAATTACTGATATGAAAGGAAAAGGAAAGGATCCGACAGGGAATTATTATAGGGTGGGGTAGAGGGAAGTAGTTTAGATTCCAAATGCCTGAGAGGGTCAGGGAAGGCATCAGACTAGATTGGGTGTGTTCAGGGTGGTATGGACATAGACAGGCCAGGGAAGGCTTCGATAAGAAAGTGCCATTTTAGCAGACACCTGGAGGAAGAACTGAAGTCAGAGCGAAGATAAAAGCGTGTCATACAGAGGAATGTCATAGGGAAAAAATGTGTGTCTTCAGGAAACTGAAAAAGGGGAAAGGGCCACACCCTGGTAAGGGGACCGAGTGGCACGAGATGAAGCAGGAAGCATAGACAAGGGCATCCTTGTACAGAGTCAAAAGTTGGTTCTTTTAAGTCTAATAAAATTGACCTCTGGCCTCAATCTATCCTGCAGAATTTGAATTTATTAGTGGAAGGTGTGGGAAGGAACAGAAATGAAAACAAAACAAAACAAACAAGAGATTTCCAAAACTATAGTAAAATGCTATTCTTTTCAACATATGTATCTTCTTGATTACATATTGTTTGACTCTAACTGTGATTTTTGTTGCTTTTAGTTAAATCTACAAGGCCTTAAGGGGCCTAGCTGAGTCTAGTATTTAATTTGAAATATCTATGAGAAAATACACACTTCTTTATAGTAAAGTATAGCTTTAGTTGTAGAGCTTTGTTCACTCTTTGTGCTCAAGATTGACTTGGCAACAGACTTCCAACACTGGTGACTGCTACTGAGGGCCAAAGAGGAGATGTGTACTCCCACTGAATCTGAGTGCCCACTGAGCATGAAGGTGGATGGTAGAATGCATGAGTGTAGCTTGTCACAAGAAAGTATGATAAATGAGAATGGGAGAGACGAAACTACACCACACGCACTTACTGATTAACTAAGATTAGAAGCTGTGAATTGCAGCTTCCCGTTTAGTGAAAGATGATATAAATAGTTTAGTTGTCTTCAGATTAGCAGAGACTTTTTAAATGGATGGGTACTGATTTTTTTTTTAAGCCCATTTCTAAGGCATCTTTTAAAGCAGGTGTCCTCAACCCCTGGGGCATGAACCGGTACTGTCCGGTGGCCCGTTAGGAACTGGGCAGAACGGTAGGAGGTGAGCAGCCAAGCATTACTGCCTGAGCTCCACCTCCTGTCAGATCAGTGGCAGCATTAGATTCTCATAGGAGCAGAACCCCTATTGTGAACTGTGCATACGAGGGATCTAGGTTGCATGCTCCCTGTGAGAACCTAATGCCTGATGATCTGGGTGAAACAGTTCCATCTCAAAACCATTCCCCTGCACCCTCCCTTCCAGGAAAAATTGTCTTCCACAAAATGAGTCTCAGGTGCCAAAAAGGTTGGGGACCAAAGTTCTAAAGGAATCAATCTCTTTGCTATTATTGTTACTATTATTATTGTTAAGATGGAGTCTTGCTCTGTCACCCAGGCTGGAGTGCAGTGGCACAATCTTGGCCCTACTGCAACCTCCGCCTCCTGGGTTCAAATGATTCTCCTGCCTCAGTCTCCCAAGTAGCTTGGACTACAGGCACATGCCACCATGCTCTGCTAAGTTTTTGTACGTTTAGTAGAGACGGGGTTTCACCATCTTGGCCAAACTGGTCTTGAATTCCTGACCTCAAGTGACCCACCCACCTTGGTCTCCCAAAGTGCTGACATTACAGACATGAGCCACCACACTCAGCTCCCTTGGCTATTATTGAAGTATTCTTTTTCTTTTTTGATCACATCTATGCAGTATATTGGAGAGAAAGAGGAAGTAGAGTGGGAATTTCAACAGGGCATGGTGGCTCACACCTGTAATCCCAGGACTTTGGGAGGCGGAGGTGGGCAGATCACCTGAGGTCAGGAGTTTGAGACCAGCCTGGCCAACACGGTAAAACCTCATTTCTACTAAAAATTCAAAAATTGGCCGGATGTGGTCGCAGGTGCCTGTAATCCCATCCACTTGGGAGGCTGAGGCAGGGAGTATTGCTTGAACCTGTGAGGCAGAGGATGGCACCACTGCACTCCAGTCTGGGTGACAGAGGCATACTCTGTCACACACACACACAAAAAAAGTCATTTCTCCATTAACTTAGATGCTGTTGTGGTCTTGATCCCCAGATCAATGCAATGCCCCAGAACAGCTTCCATTTGCCAGGCCTACCAACCTAACTGATGCATCTGAGTTTCCCGTTGGGACACATCTGAGGTATGAATGCCTCCCTGGTTATCATGGAAAACCATTTTCTATCATCTGCCTAGAAAACTCAGTCTGGACAAGTGCTAAGGACAAGTGCACACGTAAGTAACTCTGGAGTGGGAACCCCTCTGTTAGTCAAGTATCTGTAAGATCTGATTCAATTTGTTCAGATTTTGTAACTGAGTTGCATATGACAATTAGTTCGCCAAGGTGCAATACATACAAGAATTATTCTTGTAGATCATACCTTGTTACTGCTTTCAGTTCCTGGCGCCTTCATTACAAGTTTATTTCATGAGAAACAGTCATTGCAGGACATGATTGAAGGAAAATCCCGATTCACTGGGGGTCTCCCATTTTCATGACTAAAATTAAGTAATGAATGACTTGGGACAAGAAAAAGAAGTGGATTAAATAACTCAAAGATGTGACAGTTTTGGGCTCTGAGATCTTTGGATTATACCAATTGAATTGAATTACAGATAATAACAAAGTTTACATTTTTCTGGGGGCATAATATGGGAATGAAACAGATCTGAAAGGGAAGTTTGTTTTTGAAAGGGAGCTGATCCCGAGGCAGTCTGGTGAGTTTCCTCAAGGTAGCAAAATCTGTGGAACCATCAGAACTGCGAGTGTTCCTCAGTAAGCTACAGGCAGGTTGAGACCTTATGTACTGAAAAAAAATGCAGTTTGCTCTACTTGGCTCCAAAATTCTGTTTCTTTCCTGTAGGTAAATCATGTCATAATCCTAAAGATCCTGTGAATGGCATGGTGCATGTGATCAAAGACATCCAGTTCGGATCCCAAATTAATTATTCTTGTAATAAAGGGTGAGTTGGCAGCAACATCTCTTGGTTCAAGAGTTCTAGCACAGCCATACTACCTTCTAGTCACATCTCAGACAGGACAACTAAGCTATTACCATCTGCTCTTTAAAGGCTTCAACACAGGTGTTTATCTCCTGACTGAAATGAACAAAGGTATGACAAAATCAGGGGGAAAATCATCTGTATCCTTGCTGGAAACCAAGGCTTTGCATATATGAAAAGTGTGGCATTCATTGGGTGAGAAGGAAGAAAATGGGGGAAGAGTATACTCAAAGCACACAAACAGCCTTAACCCAAAGTAGACATTGCTGGAGGAAAAGGAAGGCAATTGAGCAGCTGTGTGAGAGAAATCGTAATGGTAATAGCACAAATAGTTTGCTAGGGTTGCTGTAAGAGAGTACTCCAAAACAGGTGGCTTAATACAAATGAAGTTTTTGCAGTTCTGTTCTGGAGGCTGGAAGTGCAAAATCAAGGTGTTGGCAGAGCCAGAGCCATGCTCCCTCCAAAAAACCTGTAGGAATGGATCCCTCTTTGCTTCTTCCAGTTTCTGAAGCCCCAGGCCTTGGCGTGTAGCAGCAGAACTCTAGTTTCTGTCTCTGCTGTCCTCAAACGGCTGTCTTCCCTCTGTGTCCAAAGTTCTTTTTTTTTTTTTTTTTTTTTTTAGTAGAAACAGAATTTCACCGTGTTCGCCAAGATGGTCTCAATCTCCCGATCTCGTGATCCACCCGCCTCGGCCTCCCAAAGTGCTGGGATTACAGGCATGAGCCACTGCACCCAGCCCAGAATTCCCTCTTTCAATAAGGACACCACTCATATTGGATTGGGGCCCACACTAATGACTTCATCTTAACTTGATTGCCTCTCCAAAGACCGTGTTTCCAAATAAGGTCACATTAATAGGAACTGGGGATTAAGACGTCCATATATTTCGGGGGTGAGGGGAACACAATTCTCATGCATTGCTGGTAGGAATGCAAAATGGTACCACGACTTTGAAAGATGTTTTGACAGTTTTTTATAAAAATAAACATACTCTTACCATATTATCCAGCAGTTATCCTCCTTGGTATTTATTTATCTAAAGGAATTGAAATCTCAGCTTCACACACAAAAAAATCTGCACGCAGATGTTTATAACAGCTTTATTCATAATTGCCAAAACTTGGAAGCAATCAAGATGTCCTTTAGTAAGGGAATGGATAAACTGTGGTACATCCATACAATAGAATATTATTCAATACCAAAAAGAAATGAGCTATCAAGCCATGAAGAGACATAGAGGAACCTTAAATAATGAACCTTTTTTCACTATTACTAAGGGAAAGAAGCCAATCTGAAAAGCCTATGTAGTATATGATTCCAACTATACACCATTCTGGAAAACACAAAACTATGGAGACGTAAAAAGATCAGCAGTTGCCAGGGGTTAGGGAAGAAGGGGATGAATAAGCAGAGCACAGATTTTTGAGGGTAGTGAAACTACTCTGTATGATGCCATCACAGTAGGTACATGTCATAATAAATTTATCCAAAATCATATGATGTGCAATACCAAGAGTGTACCCTAATATAAACTATGGACTTGGGGTGACCATGATGTGTCAGTGTAAGTTCATCAGTTGCAAAATTATGTACCACCCTGGTGAAGGCTGTTTATAATAGGGGAGGCTATCCATGTGTAGGAGCAGGGAGTATATAGGAAATCTCTGTATCTTCTGTTCATTATTGCTGTGAACCAAAAACTGTGCTAAAACACAAAGTCTCTTTTTTTAAAACTACATAAAAGTAAATACACAAGCACATGTGCATAAACAGACACGCACACAAATGGGTACAGGTAAAACAGGAAATTTGAACAAAACTGGTGGATCGTACCTGTCTCAATATCTTGAGTTTGATGTTGCACTATTGTTTTACAAAATGTTATTATTAGAGGGAAATTGAGTAAAGTGTACCTGGGATCTCTCCGGACTATTCCCTACAACTGCATGTGAATCTGATTATCTCAAAATAAAAAGTTTTTTTTTTTAAGTTACTACTAAATTTCCAAGGGAATGGGATTCCTACCAAAGAATTGTATATTGTGAAATTAAATAATTCTAACTTAAAACAATTCAAACTTATAGCTGGGGGAACTTTAAATTATTCTGAGCCATAAGAAGAGTGTGGCTATGCAGCCTGAGCCATGCAGCAGGCAGCTGTAACTTCTGCCTTTTTTTCCTATAAATAGTTAAAACCAAATTGCGCTAGAGATAAGACCCACTCACATCACTATCCCTTTTCAAGGAGCAATAAAGTAATCTTCCTTGGAATGTAGCAATCTGTAACAAATCAAAGTGCTGTAACTATTCATGGTCCCATATGGAAAATACAATCCTGCTAAAATTTCTCTGTCTCTGCCTATATCAGTGATACCTTACGTCCTCCACTTTGGAGTGCTGACCCCATTCATTTGGAGTTGGTGTCTTCCATGTGACTACCCTTAAGCTTTGTGCTCAAATAAACTATCCTTAAATATATTTTCTGAATCTCTTTATTTAAGGTTAACCATGTGCTAACCTAAATAATTCACAGGATTTGTTTTTTATCCTCCTTTTTTCGTAACCCATCTGCCTGGTTCAAGGCACATAGATTAAGAAGGAAAATGGAAATGGGACTAATATCCCAGGCTTCACTGTCCCTCTTTGGGCTCTGGGGAGGAGACTCCCAAAAGTCTAGACATGTTTACCCACATGCTGT